CTCTTCTGGCCTCCTTGGGCATTGCATGCACATGGTACACTTAACATACATGCAGGCAAATCATTCATACACATAAAATAAAAATTTTAAACCATAGGTATATGAGGCTGCTTTCAGCATCATCTGACATTTAGTGTTTTTTGTTTGTTTGCTTGCTTTGCGTTTATTACAGAGAGAGAGAGAGAGAGAGAGAGAGAGAGAGAGAGCACGTTCCTCAGGCAAGGATAGAAATCAGAGACCAACTTTTGAGAGTCAGTTCTGCCATGAGGGTCATGGGGATCAAACTCAGGTCATCAGGCTTGGTGGCAAGCGCCTTTACCTGATAAGCTATCTCACAGTCCCTGACATACTGTTTTACAGTAAACTTTATTTTTAGTAAGTATACTCTAAAATAATGATAAACATAATAAGTACATAACCCAGTAACATAGTCCTTTATCATCATTGCCAAGTATTGTGTACTGTACATAATTATAAGTGCCATTATGTTTTTTGTACAACTGTCTCCACAGTAGTTTGTTTACATCATCATTGCAGACATAGGAGTGATGCATGGCATGGGACTATCATTGACAAAATAGGCAGTAGCACTCAGTATACTCGTCTAAGATTCTCTTTTTTTTTTTTTTTTTTTTTTTTGTCATTTTGAGACAGGTTTCCCTGTAGCCCCAACTGGACTGGAACTCCTTATGTAGACCAGACTGGCCTTGAACTCACAGGGATCCTCCTGTCTCTGCCTCCTGAGTGCTGGGATTAAAGGTGTGTGCTACTACAGCCCAGTTTCTAAATTCTTTTCATAAGACTATAAGGTCAGGCTCTTTGTCATCATGGACCTTAATTACAAGCAGCAGATTTTTTTTTTCTTTTTGGACAGGGTCTTGTTATGTAGACCAGACTGGGCTAGAACTGGTAATCCTGCTTCAGTCTCTCAACAACAGGGATTATAGTCATGCCCCCCCAATGCCTGGCACTAAACCATAGCTTCCCCAAGTATTTTGTCACTGTGAAACAGAGTTCTTCATTTTCCTAGCCTCTAGCATCAGTTTATAATGAGAGACTGAACATGAAAGTAGGCGATAGCCAGATCATAATACCAGAATTCTAACCATTGTAGCTGGAAGTCCAACTTGACCTCCAGCCTCAGCCTTCCAAATGCTGAGATTACAGGTGTGGGCCACCATACATGGCTTAGCTTCTCTTAATTGTGCCTAGTTCCAATTCCGGGCCAGTTAAAGAGAGTCAGATATGTTTCCAAAACTAATCACATAAGATGTCTGCCTCTAGCTAATCTACCTGCATAGATCCCTTGCTAACAACCTAGAAACAAAGTGTATACCTTATTTTCCATTTATTTTTATTATGTGTATATGTGGCGGGGGGGTATGTGCATGTGAATGCAGGTACTCACAGAAGCCAGAAGTGTTGGATTTCCCAGGAGCTGGAATGACAGGCAGTTATGAGGTGCATATATATTTGGTAGCTAGGACCCAAACTCGGGTCCTCTAGTATATGCTCTTAGCCACTGAGCCATCTCTCCAGTCTTCCCTTTTCATTATAACATTTCTCACTCCTGCTTACCCTTTTATCTCTGCACAGCAACAGTGGCTGACTCTCTAAAGCAAGTTTTGAATAGTTTCTGCTTGCTCTTATTTGAGCAGTCTTTGTCTCTGTTTCCACACTATTATTAATACTTACATTACACTTTTCATCATTGTGATTTTAAAAAAACAACCCTCAGTAGACAAGGGAGGAAAGATATATTATGACTCACAGTTTGAAAGGTCTTAGTCCATCATGGTGGGGAGGACATGGCAGACAATCTCACATCATGACAAATAGGAAACAGAGAGACTGAGTAGGTCTTGGAACAAGATACAGCCCTAAGGACCTACCCCAATGACTTCCTTAAACTAGGCTGTACCTCTTAAAGTGTCTGGAACCTTCCAAAATAGCGTCACCTGTTGGGACCTAGTCTTTTATCCTGTTTTTTTTGTTGTTGTTGATGTTGGTGGTGGTTTGTTTGGGGGATTTTGCTTTTTGGTTTTTGTTTTGTTTGAGACAGGTCTCCCTGTAGTCCCAGCTAGTCTAGAAATTACTCTGTAGACCAAACTGGCCTTTATCTCACAGAAATCCACCTGCCTTTGTCTCCTGAATGCTGTGATTAAAAGCAAGTGCCAC